ATCATCGAGTGTACTTGCACAAACCCAGATAGTCGAGCCTACTACACACCTAGGCTATCTGGTACTAATCATAGGGAGCACTACTGTATATGCGGTTCATGTATGCGGTCCATTGTTGGCTGAAACGTCACTGTGCAGTGCACGACTCTACTCTAACTTCACAATACACTTAGACGCCTATCTGGGAAAGTTTACACCCTTACACCTTTCCACCACCCAGTGATAACATTTGCCTTGAGCATCTTTTCTTTGAACTAAAGAAATATTATGTCACTTTCTCTTCCAAAAAACTTACAGGGATTTTGATTGGGGAAAGAATCGACATTATCATATCAAGTCTCTCCATTCAGAAACACAGTATATCCTAGATTCACTGCCTTCCCCTAGGTCCCTAAGGGTAATTCTGTTGTTTTCCATATAAATCTTTACGTGTTTCTTTGCCAAGTTTCTGCCTATTACCCTTTGTTACTGTGGATGGCATCTTTTATTGCAACTATATTTTCCAATCAGTATTTGAAAACCTATCAATTTTCTTATATGTATTTATACATACTTAAAATATTTATATGTACACTTTATTTAGCAATCTTGTTATTTGAATATTCTTTAGGTGACTGAAATGTTTTTTCAGGTAGACCATAATCAAGCCATTTGTAAGATTATCATTCTTTTTCTTTCTAATATTTATAACTCTTAATAAATAAGAGAAACAGTAGACCCTGAGCCAGGGAGTTCCAGCTGTCATTTCTTAGGGTTATAAGTCTATGCAAGTTATTTAAAAAGAATGTGCATTCATATTTATAGGTTAAAAAGTTCAAAATATATCATTAAATCAAACTCATTGATTATTTAGACTATCAGTAGTACTTACCTTTTTTTGGGATAATGACCCTTTTAAAAGTGAAGTTCTAAATTATAGGTTAAAGCTTTGAACCCTATTTCCTCAAGAAAAAGAACACACGCAAAAGGTATTTTTATGTAATTGTCTTTGAAGTATTCATGGATCCTCTGAAAGTCCCCAAGGCCACTGTGTCACCCAGGGAAGTCCCTAAAACATTTTCCACGTTTAATGCTTTGTCTTTAAGTTGTGATTGCTTACAGGAACCGAGGCAGAACAATGGCAAATGGCCAAATGGCAGAAGAGTCCAAAGCAGAAAAGTCTAAGATGGTGATGGGCTGCCATGCGCAGAAGGTGCCATGTGCAAGAAGGGAAGATCTGCGCATGCCCCAAATGCCCCCACCCCAAGCGATAACAGAGACCTTTGCTCCTTCACATCCATAAGAACCTTGCTTACCCTCCCTTCAGGGAGGTGTTTTAGAAGACGAACTCTGCTCCCCCATTCATTGGTCAATGAGTAAAATTTCTGCTCTGCTGTCCTAATCCAGTCTAATTCTATTGCCGCCAGTGGCTCCAGGCAAAAGGACCCACTTGAGAGTCACCAGTCCCTCAGGGCTGGGTAACAACTGCTATTTATTTTTGTCTACTCGATTAGAAATACAAAGAAAATGTCTCCGAATTATGTCAAATGCTTTTTAAAAGATATTTCTGTTATATTTTAGAACTATTAGATGCTAAAAGTCATCTTTTTTAATATTCATTGAAAATTACTTCCTTCATCAATATAAACTAGTGCTCTTTTTCCAATCTGATGCTTTTTTGCCTTCCTTTTATTTTATTTTTTTATTTTGAGGGAACTCTCATTTGCCTAGTATATTTTTGCCCCCTCCTTTTTCATTTATCTGTAATTTTGTTTTAGGTATGCCATTTGTAAGTGGCGTACCGTTAGATTTTATAGAGGAATTATTCTCATGCATGCAACAAATATTTACTGAATGTCTCTTAAATTGCCAGACACCTTTAATCCATTCTGATATGTTGTGATAATAGATCTGTCTGGTCTGCTGAGTGATTTTTTTTAAAAGTATAAATCTTAAGCCATCTTAAAATTCCTAACCATCTTGAAAATCCTCCTCTGGTTCCTCAGTGTCTGAGCAATCAAGTCCATTCTAATTTGCATGCTGTGAAAGGCTCTTTCTAACCTGTTCTTTGTTTTCCTTTCAGTCTCATCTTTGGTTATCCCCTAAAGTGTTATCCTGAACCCACTTCAGTCCTGTCTACATGCTGTTCTGCAAACTTACCATACCTTCACAAAATTCTCTTCTATATACTTGGAGTTCTTTCTCCCCTTCTATACATGCTTCAGTATTCAGTTCAAAGACCCGAGGCCTTCACTAACCCCATCCCTACATCACCACTGCGTCCCTCTCTTCAGACTTCCATTTTCAATTACCTACAAAATACCAAACTTGAATATTCCCCAGACTTCTCAGATTCAATATGCCCAAAACTGAAACTATCATCTCCCCCAAACCAGCTCATTCTCCCTTGTTCCCTACTGTAGTAAATGGCACTACCACCTATCCTCCTGCTAAGTTGGAATCCCAAGTACCATATTTGGCTCGTACCTAACTTCTACCATGTCCTGCTAATTCTATTCATGAATTTCTCTCAAATACATCCAGTTATCTCTATCTCTCTTGCCTCCACCTAGTTAGGCCATCAATTTGTCTAATTTGGATTACTGAAACCACTTCCCACTTACTTCTCTACATATCTAGTCTTAATTCCCCCTGCAATCCATCCTCCACAATGCTCCTAGAATACATCAGTCTGAATGCAATGCTGAACATGTTATTCCTCTGCTTTAAAACTTTAGTGGATAAGAATGGGGATGGGTAACTTTGAAGATACAGGAACTCTCTGCACAATGTCCTTAAGATAAATTCCCAACTCCTTACTAGGTAGTATAGAGTACTTCGAGCATAATCATCCTCACCCTCATCTCCTGTCTTTTGCCCACCACACCACATCCTAGGCATCCTCAACTTTTCCAGTTCCTCTACTACTCAGTGCTCTTTGCACATGCTGCTCCCTCTTCCTACAACATTTTTCTTCCTACCTGGCTAACTCCTACTCATTCTTCAGAACACAAACAAGACACCACTTCTGTTTCAAAAGATTCCCTAAATCTCAAAGTTGGGATTCAAGGCTCCCTTCTATGTGATCCACTGTACACCCCACAGATTCTGCCACTCTGAAAGGTTAACTGCTTGTTTATCTGTCCACTTCCCCCACTAGAGTGTAAATTCCAAATATGGGAGTGACGATGCCTTTCTTGTTTATTATGGCTTTCCTAGAACTTAGCACAAAACAGTTAATCAACAGGTATTTGTTAAACAATTAAGTACAATAGTAGGTATAGAGAGGAAAAAAAGAATAACAAAGCTGTATCTGCTCTAAAGCTACTAGGATAAAGAAACACATCCACATACATAACTATGAAATAAAGATTTAAGAACAATGTAGGGATGATCTAAACAAAGAGGAATACCAATTCAATTTCTTTGGTGTGATCTCTAAAATAAAGTGCCAAAGATGATTCTTTAGAGTATGCAAAGAAAATATTAGAACTCTTATTTAAATATATTTTTAATTTCTATTTTGAAGTATGTTTTCTAATGTGCTCAACATAGTAACACAGTAAGTAGTACACGCATTCGTGTTTGGGGCCATGCTCAACTTTTCACTAAGTGGAGTAGACAAAAAAGCTTGGAAACCACAGTTCTAGGGCATTTGATCTTAACCTTTGTACAGTGGGGGCACAGTGTGTGTGTGCATGTGTGTCACAGATCCCTTTGAGAATCTGATGAAAACTAAAGATTATCTCCCAGAAAAATGAACGGAAATGTATTTTTTAAAAACCTTGGGGCCGACCCAGTGGTGCAGCAGTTCGGCCGGTTCGGATCCCAGGTACGGACATGGCACTGTTTGGCAAGCTATGCTGTGGTAGGCATTCCACATATAGAGTGGAGGAAGATGGGCACAGATGTTAGCTGAGGGCCAGTCTTCCTCAGCAAAAAGAGGAGGATTGGCAGCAGATGTTAGTTCAGGGCTAATCTTCCTCAAAAAAAAAAATTTATATGATTTCTAGGGTATCTTGGCCTCCAGGTTAAGCACTGCCCTAAAGCCTCCATTTCTAAAGCCATAAGGAGACTGCTGGAGGAAGGAAGAGGTCAGCAAAATACCTCAAACCCTATGATCTTATTATTCCTTACCTTCCCTTTTCTCCACAAATCCTGCTTCTCCTCCTCCCATAGTTAAATTACCACACCTTTCCCCAGGAAGGCTTGGAATTTCTAATCTCCTCTGTAACTCCCAAGAGTTTAGGAATGCAGTCAAAGATTTCCTTCTCAAGGGTACAACACACACATCAGATATTACCATACCATTATCACAACATTTGCCATTTCCTGAAGCACTTATACTATTATTTTCTTTATTTTTAGTAATTAACTTTTTTGTGTGTATGTATATGAGAGGAATACTGGCCCTGAGCTACCATCTGATGCCAATCTTCCTCTATTTTATGTGGGATGCCACCACAGCATGGCTTGACGAGCAGTGCTAGGTCTATGCCCAAGACTGGAACCTGCAAACCCCAGGCCACCGAGCAGAGTGCACAAACCCAACCACTATGCCACTAGGTTGGCCCCTAATTTTTAGTGACTAACTTTTTAACTTAAATTTAGTGACATCCTAAGTAACAATATCTGTGAAATCAGTTTTGATGCCCTGATTATTATTTTGCTACCTTACATCAAAATAAACACACACTTAAAATAAGAGCACAATCCGAAGGTTCCCGCAGATACTCTGGGATCTCTGTTGGGTAAGCAATAATTTGGACATCAAGAGGGTTTTTTTTAAGACAGAAGGAAACAGAAGCATTTGGTCCAATCCTCTCATTTTATAGGTTAAAAAGCTAAAACCCAGAGAAGTTAAGTGATTGACCTTGTCCAAGGTCAGACGAGAAGTTTAAGAAAATGTCTAGGATTAGTATGCAGGTCTACTATCAGCCCAACAGACTTTCCACTACACCGTGTCCATTCAGATTACACCAGAATAACACAGTATCAAGAATTCTTCATCTGTTACTTACCTTACTCTTCCACTCAGATTTATCTGAACATGCTGCTTAAAATCTGGATATTTAGATGCCAGATATGCAAAGTCAGGAGGTTTGTCCTTGTATCTATTTCTTACATGCATTGATTTACTCAGAGCCATCCTTAAAAAGAAAAAAAAAGGGAAAAGTCAGCATATTTAGTTTAAAAAATACTAACGGGGAAAAGCTGTGGTTGATAACTCAACAGTTACAGCGAACACACCATTACCAATCAAGTGAGAAAGTAGAAGTTATATTTTTAAAATGTACACAACAAATAAGCATGTGAAAAGATGCTCAACATTATTAGTCATTACGGAAATGCAAATTCAAAACCACAAGATTACTTTCATACCCATTAGGATGGCTACTATTAAAAAATTAAAAAAAGAAAACAAGCATTGGAGAGGATGTGAAGAAACTGGAGTCCTCATGCACTACAGGTGAGAATGTGAAATGGTACAACTATAGTGGAGAAGAGTTTGGCAGTTCTTTAAAAAGTTAAACACAGAATTACCAAACGATCCAGCAAGTCCACTCCTAGGTATATACCCAAAAGAAGTGAAAGCAGGGATTTAAACAGATACTTGCACACCAATGTTCACAGCAGCATTATTCACAAGAGCCAAAAGGTCGAAGCAACCTGAGGTCCATTAACAGATGAATAGGTAAATAGAACACGGTATATACATACAATGGAATATTAGCCATAAAAAGAATGAAACTCTGATGTATGTTACAACATGGATGAACCTTAAAAGCATTATGCTGGGGCTGGCCCCGTGGCCGAGTGGTTAAGTTCACGCGCTCTGCTGCAGGCAGCCCAGTGTTTCGTTGGTTCGAATCCTGGGCGCGGACATGGCACTGCTCATCAGACCACGCTGAGGCAGCGTCCCACATGCCACAACTAGAAGGACCCACAACGAAGAATATACAACTATGTACCGGGGGTCTTTGGGGAGAAAAAGGAAAAAAAATAAAATCTTTAAAAAAAAAAAAGCATTATGCTAAGGAAAATAAGCCACATGCAAAAGGACAAATATTGTATTCTCTCACTTACGTGAGGTACCAAAAATAGGCAAATTCATGCAGACAGAGAGTGGAACAGAAGTTGCCAGGGCTTGAGGAAAAGGAGGAATGATGAGTTATTATTTAATGGGTACACGGTTTCTGCTTAGAATGAAGAAAAACTTCCAGAAATGGATAATGGTGATGATTGCATAACATTGTGAATATACTTAATGCCACTGAATGGTATTTAACAACTTAAAAATGGTTAAAATGGTAACTTTTATGTTATGGATTATCTTACTACAATTTAAAAAAAAGGTACACAACATATGACGAATTTTTTTTTAAACCAAGGGAAGAAAATTAGAAACTATTCCTTTAAAAAATTAAACTGGGGGCTGGCCCTGTGGCCAAGTAGTTAAGTTCGTGTGCTCTGCTTTGGCAGCTTAGGGTTTCACTGGTTCGGATCCTGGGCACAGACATGGCACTGCTTATCAGGCCATGCTCAGGCTACGTCCCACAAAGCACAACTAGAAGGACCTGCAACTAGAATATACAACTATGTATGGCATGGCGGGGGGGTGGGTGCCTTTGGGGAGAAGAAGAAAAAAAATTTTTTTTAAAAGATTGGCAACAGATGTTAGCTCAGGTGCCAATCTTTAAAAAAACTAAAGAATTTAAAAAATATCAAAATGACAGAAGGGAGTATAATCTGGGGCAAAGAATATAACAGTCAGAGGTTAAATTTTTACAGTGGGCTTGCATGGATTAAATATTCAGTAGTGCACCATAAAATCATTAAAGTTTCAAAAAATATCTTCTATTCCAAATTCTTACATAAATTTCAGTCTTGTCATTCCTAGGTAACCAAAACCAAATGAAAACAAACATAATTTTGTCTTCTTCCAGATTACAGAGAGGGAAAAAGTTAACACAGATATAGCAAGAAATAAAAAGCGAAAGAAACCCCATTGCAGTGGTTTAGTAAACTCTGAGTTGTTGGTAATTTTAAAAATATTTTAGTGTATATCTCTGGGTAGTAGGTGATTTTTACTTTCTTCTTTGTATCATTTTGTATTTTCCACTTTATTTTTTACTCATGAGCATTCATCTAAACATGATTATGTAAACCAGAAACCTAGGAGTCACCTGATAGTTCTCTATCCCTCTTATATCCCAAGAAATCAATAGTCGTGTGGATTTTTCTTAATAATTACTTCTCAAATCCATCTATTTTTCCCTATCTCTGCCAATATCAGCCAGCACAAGTTACCTAGACTGCTACAACAGCCTCTAAATTGGTCTCCCTGAATTCACTTTTATTCTCTCCATTCCTTGTTCCACCTTGCAGTGTTCATTTCTAAACGCAAATCTCATTATGTCCTCTTCCTACGCCCACTTGATCAAAACCTTACTCTTGGGATAAAAACAAAAACTATCCGAGCCAGCCCTGATGACCTACTGGTTAAAGTTCAGCATGCTCTGCTTCCGTGGCCCAGGTTCAGTTCCCAGGCATGGAACCACACCACTCGTCTGTCAGTAGCCATGCTGTGGTGGCAGCTCACAGGAGAACCAGAAGAGCTTACAACTATACACAATTACATACTGGGGCTTGGGGTGGGGGAGCAAAAGGAAGATTGGCAACAGATCTTAGCTTAGGGAGAATCTTCTCCTGCAAAAAAAATTAAAATAAAATAAAATAAAACACATTTTTTTAAAAAACCATACATATAAGGCCCAGCATGGTGTGGCCTTATTTATTTTTTCACCATCAGCTTAAGGCATCTCCCTTGCTCTTCTTCTTGTCCCCTCCACTCTGGCAACAGGCTCTTTACCCCGGTTACTCCTTTTGTCTGCAATGTTCTTTCCTCCCCCTCTTCACCTGATGAATTCCTATTCATCCTGAGGATCACAGTTCAAGCATCTCTTCTTCAGGCAGGTCTTTCCTTCCCTCATCTCCCCCGTGAAGCCATAGCCCCTATTATAAAGTCTCTTAGCAACAAGCACCTTTCCTTTGCGGGCTTTGTTAGAGATGTAGCTTTACATAGTAACAAATTTGTCAACACTCTATTTCAGAAGGTTTGTTCTGACAGCTTTCTACATGAGAAATTTAACAACCATTTTCAAAAAGAATTGTTGTCTTCACCCCAGACCTTTCCAAATCACAATATGCTACTGCCCACCAGACTTCTCACCTGAATGGTTCAAAAGTACTTTATGCACATGTCCAAAATTAAATCATTTCAACCCACCCCAAACTGGTCCTCTTCTAATCTTCCCTATTTCCCTGAAAGATACCACTACCTTTCTTGTGGCACGCAATCCAGAAAGCTTTAAAACCTGCTCCACCTCGCCTCCTCCATTCCAAACATACATGTCCTCAATAGCCTCTATCTCCTAATTATTATTATATTATTACTATTACTATTATTAATTACCTATCCATTTTTCACCCTTCACAACTGCACCTCTCTAACCCAGATCATTACCATCTCTTTCTTGGATTACTATAACAGCGTCTAACTGATCTCTCTATAACCACTCTTGCCCTTGCAATCCACCTTCCAACCAGCAAACAAGTCTCCTTACCCCTCTGCCATGCAAATCTGAACATTCCTTGCTAAATCCCTTCAGTGGCTTCCTAAAGCTATTAGGCTGATCAAGTCCAAAACCATTAACAAGGCATACGTAATTCTAGGCCTTGCTTATCCCTCCAACCTCATTGGTTGCCACTTTTCCCCTTCCTGAACTATGTTCCATACTGGTCCAAATATACTGGTCTTCTTTCATTTTCTCTGCTGCATCATGGTTGTCCCACCATCTGCTATTCTTACACCCTCCCACCATCCCTTCAACTTGTGAAGGCCCACTAGTCCTTCAAATCACACCTTAAGCATCATTTTCTCAGGTAGGCTTTCTCTGACACCACACATCCAATCAGACGCCCACTCTATATGCTTTCCAAGCACTTTGTGCTTTTCCTTCAGAGATCTTTACATTTGTCACACACACACACCAAGCTGCAACCACGTCCACCTTATTCTTCATCGTACCCCCTAGTAACTGGCATAAAATACATATTGGTTGAGTAAACAAAGAATTCAGAATTTGGGGGAATTAACAGTCACTTGGAAGTTTTTCAGCACACTAAATTACCACCTTTTGCCCCTCACATTATCACAAAAACTAAGTATACACAAGTTTTAATTCCCTAACATTAACATACCCTTTATAGACCATCTGGAAAGGCAGAATAAAACTAGGATAGGTGTCAGTCCTCAAGAAAAAGGTGAAAAAGGAAAATGCTTTTCTTTCCTGTGATGTGGCAAGAATCAAAAAAGAAAGCTACTCTATCAGTAGTTTCAAGAGACAATAGGGGGCCGACCCCACCGCTGAGTGGCTAAGTTCGCACGCTCCACTTCGGTGGCCCGGGGTTTCGCTGGTTCTCGGACACGGCACTGATCCTCAGGCCACGGTGAGGCAGTGTCCCAGATGCCACAACTAGAAGGACCCACAATTAAAGTATACAACTATGTACTGGGGGGATTTGTGAAGAAAAAAACAGGAAAAAGAAAAAAAGATTGGCAACAGTTGTTAGCTCAGGTGCCAAGCTTTAAAAAAAAAAAGGAAAGACATGGTATGTTAGGGCTCTGCAACACATTAAGATTCTAAAGACTACATAGCTGACACCAATGTACACACATAACACTCTGAACATATGCAGAACAAATTAAATTACAGATATGGTAGATTCAATTGATTTCCTACATTACTCACCCTTTCTGGTCAAAATAGACACAGAATGAGTCAATAAAACCACTTCTTTGATAACCAAACTCTTAATACAAGCAATGACTTTAGCTAAATCTACCCCATTCTACAAAATATAACTGAGTGTCAACTCTGGCCTGGCATCAGCATTGCTACTCGCCACTTCTCTCTAACTTAATCTACTTTTCTCTTCCTGGTTCATTCTCCTCTAGCCACATTAGCCACCTTGTTTCTCTATCAAGTCGGACACACTCCCGTCTCAGGGCTTCTGTACTTGCTGTTTGCTCTACGTGGACTGCTCTTCCCCTAGAAATACGTACAAAGTCCGCTCGCTTTGTTTAAGTCTTTGATCAAACATCACCTTCTCATTGATGCCTTTCCTGAGTACCTCCACTTAAAAGTGCAGTGAGTGAACACACTCCTTGCCCCTTTCCTAGGTTCTACTACTAAGATGAGCATATCCATCTGAGATTCCATATGTTTTACTTATTACTTTTAATCTGCCCTGCCAGTAAAGCTTCATGAAGGAAAGTATTTTGTCTGCCTTGTCCACTGCAATATCCCAGTGCCTAAAACAGGACCTGGGGCACTCAATAAGTATCTGTTGATTGAAAACACGATGGAACTCTTTCACTCTCCAGGCTACTGAAACACAGCACCCTCATTCTTGGTAAACAGTCCCCATCTTGACCCTCAAAAAAACTTAGCCCTAGGGCTGGAGCTTTTTCTTCCGGGTTACCTGAGTCAATCCAGCAAACCAAAGTAGTAGACCCCCGAAGCTGACGCTTCGACTTTCTTTGATCTTTCCCATCTTCATGCTGTTTCCTTGGTTTCTCCTGACCCTTAATAATCCTCTTCAACTACCACTTAGCCTAAGACAAAACAGCCTAAATTCCACTTTCAGAACTTCGAATTCCTTCTGCATAGATCCCTCCCACTTCAACTCCAATCTCCGTTTTCTCTCGTCGCCTTCCCTCATAAATTCTACTTTTTCCTCTAGTCCCGCCACTGCCAGTTTCTTCCACACCCTCATCTTACCGACTCAGTTTGTCTTCCCGCCTGAGTTTCGGAAGTCTCTAAACCTCCTCAGCCCGGGAGGAGGGTCTTTCCTACTTCAAGGCTACTCTCCATTCTATTCGCCAACTCCTCCCACCTGTTGCACCACCACTCCCGCGCGCGCACGCACACACACACACAAACCCCCACCCACCCAAAAGGTCTCTCTTCCCTAAACCCCGAAGTCAGTCCCTCACGGGCCCAGAACCCGAGAATGAGGAACGTGGGTGATACATAGGTTAAGTGAACTCGCAGCCCGCGTGAGAGATAGTAAGTGACTCACCTGTGAGGTCAAAGTTTCTGCCAGACGACCAGTCTGGAATGGGCCTCTGCAACCCCAGAATCTTAAGCCACACGCAGCGCGAAGCTCCTAGAAACGCAGATGTTACGCTCCCAGCGCGCCGCCATCTTGGGCGGCCATCCAGCCTCGTAATTGGACAAACCACTCTCGCGCGACCTGTAGCAGATTCTGAAGATAGAAAAAACTGTCGCGATACCTGGAGTTTGCGGGCTCCTTGTGACAGAGCGAGGGCGCGCGGAGGGAGCAAGCGGAGGCGTGTGCGTGAGGCCGCCTGCAGTAGACTGTGCCGGGGAACTTGTTTTTCAAAAACGTAGATTACCAAGAGAACTGTAGCTTTCTGGGCGTCACTCCAGACTTACTAAATCACACTGTGGAGTTGGTTGGGGAACATGAAGATGGCGGGGCTGGAGGAGACGTTTGGATTTGATGATGGCAATTAGCATTTTTTGTGCAACAAGTCTCTCTCATGCGGTGTCTCATTTAATCATCACAGATAAACCTGTGAGGTGAGAAAGAGTAGTCTCATTTACAGGGGAAGAACTGTGGGTCAGGAATATTGAGTCATATGTTCAAGATCTTAAACCCAGTTGACATTAGTCCACGTTGCTTGTATTTCTTCACCTGCCTCTTGAGCTGAAGCTCTTTTAAATGCATTTCATTTTTCTTTTCAACTCGGTTATACTAATTTTTCCCCTCTGGTAAGTAGAGTGAGCATTAGTCTCCCCATTTTAAAATTGACAAAAAGGTAAATGACTTTCAAAAGGCACACAACTAGTAACAAAACTAGGGCTAAAGTGAGCCTCTGGACCCCCACCTAGTACCTCTTTCCGTTAAAGTTTGCCTCAGTTCTAGTAATAAAAGCGAAAGTTTCTGGCAAACTATTACCACAAAATTGAGAGGGAGTAAGGAACAGAGACTGCGGCTTTGTGAAGAACTGAGTGTACCTGTAGTTAGTTGCGCAAGGAAAGGTGAGGAGGTGTTTTCATTATTTATTGTGTAACAAACCACCCCAAAATGTATAGCTTAAAACAACCACCATTTTGTTTGCTCACTGTTCTACAGTCTGGGCTGGGATTAGCCCCGCCATTCTTCTGCTGGCCTTAGTGTTGGTCATAGCATCAGCTGGGGGCTGGTTCAGCCGGAGTGACTGGGCCTCTCTCTCCCTGTATCTCGAATTCTCTTCCTGTCAGTGTGACCTTTCCACCCATCTCTGGGGCAGACTTCTTATATGTTGGCTCAGGGCTCCCCAAAGGGCAAAAGTGGAAGCTACTAGGGTTTCATCAGGCTCAGGCCCAGAACTGGTGCTTTCATCATATTCTATTGGTTAACATAAGTCAAAGGGCCAGCCCACATTCAAGAGTGGGTACTATTCCAGGGTACCCTTCAATACCGGAAGGCCTGGTTCACTGGCCCCGCCAATGCAACAGAATACCGCTGAGAGTTTTCTGTCTTTAGTTCGTAGTAACTTTGGCACTGGTTGTTTTTATAGTATTTAGTGCTTGCTTCTTGAAATGAAAAAGAGAAAATGGCCTTGGAGGTATGAATGGTAGAGTTGAAGCTGGATTGTATTTAAGATGCTGGTGAATTTCTCTGTTAGCTCCAAACAGACATCCAACTCTCCTGTGGGTCGAACCAGAGATACCCTAGCTCTGCAGCCAGGGAATTTGGGCTTTAATCCTGCCCCCACCGCTTACTAATCCCATGATTATGGGCAATTTATTTAAACTATTCAAGTCTCAGTTTGCTCAATATTGCAAAACAGGATAGTAATGCCGTAGGGTTATTGTGAGAATTAAATCAGATAATGTATATAAAAAACTTAGCATAGTTTCTGGCACATAGTAAGATATTATTATTATTACGATTTTTATTCCTTATAGCTTCTCTGGTCAGTTTCCATTTTTTAAAAAAATTATTTCATCAAGATAAAACATGTTCATTATAGGGAATTTGTAAAAAATTTAAGTAATACAGGAAAGTATGAAAAAGAAAGCAAAAATTATCTAAAATCTCACCACCTGGAGCCAATCACCATCAAATTTTGGTAACCTTACTTCTAGACCTCTATATAGTCATAGGAACATATAACTAAATAACTTTTATACAAATAGTATCACATATCTATAATTGGTATGTCAAATATAAGTCTTAGAGATTCTCCTACTTCAATTAATATAGTTCTATATCATCCTTTGTGATGGGTACATAGTATTCCTTGTATGGATGTGCCACAATTTTTTAAAACTAATTTCTCGCTGAGTGGACATAGGTTGACCTGCTCCCAAAATTGTAGTACAATGATATATACATCCCCTAAAAATTTTTTTTCCACATAAAATGAAAATTGTCTAGAGACTGCACAAAATAGATTAATAAGATATTCAACATCTGCCTCTTAGGGCTTTATCTCTCTGACTTATCCTCAAATCTCCATGGATTTAATCTTCTAGGAGAAGTTTGTCCAACTTTCACATGTTAGCAAGAACATAGGTATCCAATTAGTCAGTTACAGCCTTTGCTTTTTGCTGCCTCTTTGTAATAGGAAACTGATTCTGCACATTCAACAGGCAATGCTGCTCATTTTGAAATATTGTGGAGCTAATACCAGAGCTGCGTTCAGCATCAGCCACCTATTAGGCTGAAATCAACCCTTGAGGGCATCAACCTGGACTCTCAATTTTTTTTTCTGAGGAAGATTCACCCTGAGCTAACATCAGCTGCCAATCTTCCTCTTTTTGTATGTGAGCCGCTGCCACAGCATGACCACTGACAGAAGAGTGGTGTCGGTCCATGCCCAGAACCAAACCTGGGCCACCGAAGTGGAGCGTGCCAAACTTAACCACTAGGCCACCAGGGTTGGCCCTGGGCTCCCACTTTACTGAAGTTAATTATTTCAGAGACCTTGTTGCTCTACCCTGCCACTGTCCTTCGGTCAGGGCCAGCCAGTCAACATCCATAGGTCTCTCTAACTTCATGTCTCAGGGAGCAATGATTGAATATTAGTTCCTTCTAGCGCAGAAGACTCTGGCCTCTTTACATAAATTTATCCAGCTCCCTTTTAGGGCACAAGTCAATATTTTAGAGATCCAATTGCCACCTAAATTAAGTCATAAAAGCTACACCCTAATCCCAGAGTAATGACTATTTCTCAGCCTACATTTACGTAACTGAGAGAGCTACTCAAGTGATGCTTCACACGTTGGACACTATATTTTTCTTTATTATAAATAATGCTGAATTCTTTCAAGATCTTGAAAAGCAAATTTCAAAATGTAATAGCTGATGGAAGAACTGGATCTAAATGTATATCTGACTACCCTCCCTCCTGTTCCAAGTCCCACGAGACAGAAGATGTTAATTTAAAAAATAAAATAATAAATTTCAAATAGGACTAAAAACACAGAAATAGTGTCATTGACAAGCCAGACAATTTGAAGATACTCTGAGAAAATAGAAAGCAAATAAAAATAACAACTAAAATGCCGAAAGGGGGCTGGCCCCGTGGCCAAGTGGTTAAGTTCACCATGCTCCGCTTCAGTGGCCCAGGGTTTGGCCACTTAGAATCCTGGACGCGGACCTGGCACCACTCATCAGGCCATGCTGAGGTGGTGTCCCACATGCCATAACTAGAAGGACCCACAACTAAAAATATACAAAGTCCCCAGGGGACTTTGGGGAGAAAAAGGAAAACTAAAACCTTTAAAAAAAATGCAAAAAGGTTTTTATAGGGACCTGCAAATGATTTTGAAATTTATATGGAAAACAAAAGGTGCCAGAATAGCTAATAATAATGTTTTCCACTTGGAAAAAATTTAAATTACACCATATATAAAATAAATCCCATATGAATAATAAACAAAACAATTACAAAACAAGTAAAATCAACTACAGAAGTGTTGGAAGAATGTAGGAGAATTTTTTATAAGTTTAGAATAGGGAGGGCCTTTTAGAGACGCAAAAATCAAAGAACATAAAGTAAATGATTGCTAAATTTGATTATATAAAAATTTAAAACTTCAGTATAATAAAAGATACTACAAATAATAGACAACAAACAGGGAGAAAATATTTGCAATAAATATAACAGAGAAAGGGTTAGTATCCAAGATATATTTTCCAACAATGACAAATCAATAAGAAAATAATCCAATGTTAAAATGAGCAATGGATATGAACAGGAAATTCAGAGTCGACCAATGAAGATCTATGAAAAAATGCTCTAACACATTAGTAATCACAGAAAGGCACAGTAAAATGCCTATAATATACCTTTTTTTTGAGGAAGATTAGCCCTGAGCTAACATCCACCACCAAGTCTCCTCTTTTTGCTGAGGAAGATTGGCCCTGAACTAACATCCATGCCCAGCTTCCTCTACTTTATATGTGGGATGCCTGCCACAGCATGGCTTGCCAAGCGGTGCATAGGTCTGCACTCAGGATCTGAACCAGCAAACCCGGGGCCACTGAAGCAGAGCACGCAAACTCAGCTGCTACGCCACTGGCCTGGCCCCTAATATACCATTTTTAACACATCAAGCAAAATAAAAAATATTGATAATATCCAATAGTGGCAGAGGTTAGTGCGTTGGTTAGCTTTTGCTGTGTAACAAACCACCCTAAAAATTAGTGGCTTAAAACAACAGACATTAATTATTCCTCACAAATCTGTGCATCCCCTGGGCAGTTGTTCTGGTCTGGGTTGGGTCAGCTGATGTTGGCAGTTTGCTGGAGGTTATGCTGGGGCCTTGATGGTCGAGGATGCCCTTCCTCACATGCCTGGCAGTTGGCATGCTGGTAAGGATGTCTAAGGTAAGGATCAGCAAACTACTGCAAGTGGGCCAAATCACAATACAACAGCAGAGTTGAGTAGTGGCAAGAGAGATCATACAGCCTTCAAAGCTGGAAATATTTACTATCTGGCCCTCTACAGAAAAAGTTTGCCAAATCCTGGTCTAGGGAACCTAATCTGGGAGTGTTTGTCTCTGCTTCACGTTGTTTCTCACCCTCCAGTAGGATAGACTGGGTTTATTAACATGGCAGCAACATTCTAAGAGAGTGAGTAAGCAAGCTACAACAACTTTTAAGGCCTAGACCAACCCAAATGGAAGGAGCAGACAAATAGACTTCACT